ATTAAATAGAAGAAAATACAAAACATTAAACATGTTAACAACACAAAAGCCATATTAAACGCAGACTACTTTAGGCCCGGAAGTAGGATTCGTCACGTCATCACTTAACGACCGGATAGTTACTTGCTAGGCATGATGCATTTACACTCAGTAATCTGGAATTTCAATGACATTGTGTTTTTCTTCTAATTGGGAGCAGATGAGTTAAGCAGAGTTTTCTTTTTTTGAAAATTCAAAAAGAGCTGCTCCTCTGGGTAAATGTCTCCTAGCTGAGGTACACCGAGCATGCTCAGCTGGGAGGAGAACCTGGACTGGACCCAGGACACACTGGAGAGATTATGTCTCTCAACTGGCCCATTTGTGTCTCACTAGAAGAGCTTGAGGATGCGGGAGGGGAGAGGGAGGTCTTGGCATCTCTGCGTAGACAGCTGCCCCTGCAGTCTGGACCCTGATAAGTGGTACAAAATGGATGTTTTTTGTTCTGATTCTATTTCATATTTTAGTTTTTCCTTCTTCATCATGTTTAGTGAGAATCTTCTCCTTTGTGCTTAGTACGTCTATTGGGATGTTTCCTGTTTTACTTTGAAACTTTGCTTTCTTTGGTGTCTTGTTCATACTTCCTGTGAGCTTGATTGTCTTGATTATATTCACCTGTGTCTTCTTCCTCATCTGTTTCCCATTGTTAATTATTCTCATCTTCATTTTATCTTTGTCCTTCTCTTTGTTCAGTCATCATCTTCAGCGTTTGATTCCCGTTTGCATGACCCTTTCTGAGTTGGAAAACAAATTGAGAGACTGCCTCTGCCGTAGCACACTTTCTGTCACCAGGATGTCTGGCTTGCTGATTAAGACTGACAGCATTACGTCCCCTCCCCCGGTGGTTGCTTAAGACAACAGCCTATCAATGCACACATTACACAAATCCCAGTGAACCTCAGCACCAGTGCAAGTCTCTGAAAGAGGAGCTCAGCTTTACTGTGTGACAACTTTCTGTCTTTATCTGTGTGCCTGTGAGGAGAGGCGTATTGATACGTGCAGTCATTTCCTTTAAAGCAAAGAGCGGTAATGAGGGACGGGTAATCTAATGAGGAGCTACATAAATTGTAACAAGGAAGCAGCTTCTGTTTACCAAAACTCAACCCAGCTGCTTAATGTCCTCCCTCCCTGATCTGTTTCTTATCTCGCTCTTGCTTATGTAACAGACAATAAACCACATAAGAAATATGAGTTAGTGACATGTTCTGCTTTTTTGTGCAGAACATGTCACCTTGTTGATGCAATGATATCTAGTGTTTGCAGACTTACCAGCGTAGTAAAAGAGTCAAGTCTAGTGAGGGTCTAAATTTTCACCCAGTAACGATACACACCAACCTGTTTGAGAACAACTAGTCCAGGTTTGTTTAACTGTTGTTCGCTGGAGCACAGAGACAAAAACTGAAACAGGATCTGAAAGCTGGCATTTAATGCCCGGTCAGATCTAGTTCAGTCTAATCTAATTCTTTGATCAGATAGTTCCGGGTTTAATTGAATGTAATTGGAAATTTAGACCACTTTGTCCTCTTGCACATCACCATCAATGTAGGTATCTTTGTACAGCACTTAAGCACAATAGATTGTTCAAAGCAAGTAAAAAGGAAGAAAAGAAAAATCCGTGGAGGTAACATAACAAACCTTTTGATTTTCCACACACAGCAAATACCTTCAAGGCTCTTTTAGAGGCTGTTTTAGACATCTTTGAGTTCTTGATAGAGCGTATCATCAAGCACAAACATGGGATTTTCAGGTGTGTTCTGCCAGTTGTCTTCTTGATCTTCTAACCTCAGCAGAAGTCTGGTACCAAACCTAAGAGACTAATCATCACACCCTGATGATCATATTCCTCTTCAACACAACAGAAATCCATCAACGTAAGAAAACAGTTGGGAGACTCAAACTGTGAACAAAATCAAGCTAAGAGGAACAAATGGGTAGCAGCTGGCTGTTTTAGGAGAAAAGGGAAATAAACTATATGTGTGTCTCATATCGTACTTCAGATAAAAATAAGAGGAAGCAGCCTTTACAGCTGTGCCATCAGACCACCTGCACCTCCATCTGCGTCTTTATAAACGTAGCTGTGTAATTAGGAAAGACAAACAGCAGTAGTGGGTCTAAAGTGTGCTTCTTGCACATTGCACTCAAGTTCAGTATCAGTAGAAAACCAAGTTTATTATTAGCTGACGTATAGATTAAAATGTAAAGTGTGCGCTGTATAATAAAATGTTGCTGTTTTTAAAAAAAGGTTGAATTAAAACAAAAAACTATGATTTTGAAATCTGCACAAATATGTTTGTTTTTTCACTTTGAAATTCATTTATTAATTCAACTTTGTGCCTTTATTATCTGCTGCAGCCTCGTGGTCCCAAGGCCTCGTTTCAGATTCAAGTGTCCTTGCTTACATGCTGCACACTTCTTTACTTCAGATCTTCTAATGCAATAAAGCCCATCTGCAAGTTCTGCTGATTTATTTACACTAAAACCCATCAATACAGTACAGTATTTTGTAGCTGTTGAGCACTTTATGGTATGGTATTGATACTAATAGACTGACATAAAACAAAATGCATGAAACCAAAATATTGATAATAATAATAATAATGTAGCACCTTTGTAATAATGCCGTGGGTCAAACAGCTGGAACCTCTGAAGCTGTTTAAAACATGCGTGTCTCAATTACGTGGAAATCCTCCTGGATAGCAATGTGTTTTTATTGGTATTAATAGATTTTTTTTGTTGTTTGGTGAGATTCACCTTTTTCTTTCTAGTCCAACTTAAATACTAGATATTTACAGTACAGAGCAGCAGTCTCTGCATAAAGATGTATCTGCCTCAGTCCTGGCAGAATTACTCAGTCTGGTTCATATCTAGGGCAAAGCGTACGACGCCGCCACCTCTCCGAGGTCCGGGTCTATCCAGCGGTGGTTGTGGTTCTCCTCCAGCAGCATCCTGGGAATGATGATTACTGGGTCGGAGAACCTCGTCCTTAGCATCTCTAGGAGGCAGCACATGGTTAAGATGGCAGAGAAGGAGACAGAAAGAGACACATGATGAAGCATTTCTCTAGGGCCAAGCACAAGAAGGTAATGGGCTGAGCTGAGCACCCTGTGACCGCTCATTTCAGAGATTTCTGGGAAAGATTTAGCAACACCGCAGGCTTCCTTTCTTCTTTCTTTGCGTCCCACAATTTATTACATAAAAAAACCAAAGGATAAATAAAAGTTTGCTTTGCATCTCAGTCAATACAAGTTACTTTTTACAATCAGTACAGGGTGGGCCATTTATATGGATACACCGTAATAACATGGGAATGGTTGGTGATATTAAAGTCC